TGTCTGGATGTGTTCACTGATCCAGTCACCGCTCCATGTGGACACGACTTCTGCAGAACCTGCCTCAACAAGTTCTGGACAAGCACACAGACCTGCTTCTGTCCACTCTGTAAAGTAACATTCAGCAAAAGACCTGATCTCATGATTAATACAAACAGGGGCACCATTATGGGGGGGAAGGTTACGATGATTCAAAGAGCCCTGGTCAGAGAGGTCGACCCCGGAACGCAACCTCTACTGGGGGGTACAAACCAACCCACGCTCCTCCGAACGCAATCTCTACTTAGGGGGAAAAACAAACCCCCGGTCCCGCTCCCCCGAATCCAGTCTCTAAGGGGGAGAAACCAACCCCAGCTCCCCCGAATGCAATCTCTACCGAGGGCCCAAGTCAATATGATACTCAGAGGGCCCAGAAACCATATTGGCACCCCTGAATACAATGCTGAGAGTGTTGCGGAACACTTTAAGGAGAAGCTCAATCTAGGAAGACCTGAGGTGTTCTGTGACTTCTGTGATGAAAGAAAGCAGAAAGCCGTGAAGTCCTGCCTGACGTGTCAAAGCTCTTACTGTGAGACTCACCTGGAGCCTCATCACAGAGTCCCACGTCTAAAGAAACACACACTGATCAACGCTGTGGAAAATCTGGAGGATTATATATGCCAGAAACACGAGAGACCTCTGGAGCTGTTCTGCAGAGATGATCAGACGAGTGTGTGTCTGTCCTGCACTGAAGGAGACCACAGGACTCACAACACTGTTCCTATAGAGGAGGAGAATCGAGAGAAGGTCACAAACATAACACTTTAAAGACCAAATGAAATGCCTCTTTTTTGTGCGTTGATATGTTGAAGAACATGTCCCCCAGGGTCCGCATAAAAAGGGTGGTCTGGGGCATGGTTCATGTGAATTCCTGTACGGTCCGTTTCTGACGTGAACCGCTATTAATGATGTATGAATGTCTATTTAAGTGTTTACTCACTCGCTTTCCTGATAAGCATGACTGATGCGCTGCAGCAGAAAAAAAAATAATATATATATATATATACGTTTACCAAATATATATATATACCAAAATACGTTTTTGTTTGCATAATATGTGTGTTCTGTGTATATTTATTATGTATATATAAATACACACACATACAGTATATATATTGAAAATATTTACATGTATTTACATGTCTATATTTATATTCATATAATTTATATTATAAATAAATAAATATATTTAATATATAAACAACATATTTTTCTGAAATATATATATGCATGTGTGTGTATTTATATATACATAATAAATATACACAGTACACACATATATATTATGGAAACAAAAACTTTTATTTTGGATGCGATTGATCGGCATTAATCGTTTGACAGCACTAATATATATATATATATA